CACACACACACACACACACACACACACACACACACACACACACACACCCCAAAGGGAATAATGCTATGGACTTCATGCCCTTCCTCGACTCTAGAGGCAACAACCATCATCAAAGCCAGAGTTGTGTGATATTCTTGAAGTGTGAATTTCTCATGTTAGATATGCTCTCATGGAGCTTTGTAACATTCAAAAATGATTTTCTCATCTTGCATTTCTCATATTAGAAATGCTCACAGAGCTTTGTAATGTTTAAAAGTGATCTTCCCACCCCTACTGTTTAGCTCAGACTATACCTGGGAGACTTACCCCTTTTGGGGGACAAATCCTATAAAGATTAAACAGCCCTCAAAGATAGGTGATTTCTCTGATTTGGTGCTAAAAGATTGTCCAAAAAAACCAAAATTAGACCAAGATGTCAATCATCTCAGTGTTAGAAAACCCCAACCACCCTTCAAAGCCCAATTGTGCTTTAATTTCTACATGCTTTTCCTCCTAAACATAAATATTATATTCTTCAAGGCTCTACGCTGAGCCCTCTTCTCTTTCTCTACACCATTTTTGCTGATTTCATCAACTCTGATGGATTCAATTCCCATCTTTTCATGATAATACCATCATCTCTATATCTAGCCTTAATTTCTTCCTTTGTACATCTCCAACTGCTTGTTTTATAAGTGCCTTAAACTCAACCTGGCCAAAATGTAACTCATTATCTTATTTCTCTAGACTCATCCCTTCTCCAAACCTCCACATTTCTGTTGAGGTCCCAATCATGCCATGCTCAAAACCTTAGAGTCATCCTCAACTCTCCATTCCTCTTACACCCCACCCATATCCAATCAATTACAAAGATATTACATATATACATACATACATATATATGTGTATATATATATATAAGCTTCCATGATATTTCTCACATACATTCCCTTTTCTCCACTCATATAATATGTTATCCTAGTTCAAGTTCTCATGACCTCTCACCTGTACTATATTGTAAGAGGCTTCTAACTGGTCTCCCTGCTTCCATTATCTCAGCACTCCAATCCCTCTAGCTGTCAAAATTATATTCCTAAAGCGCAGATCTGACCATAACACTCCCTGTTTTCTTTAGGATAAAATACTAATTCCTCAGTTTGATATTGAAAACCCTTCACAAGTTGCCACCAGCCTTCTTTTCCCTATTGTTCCCCAAACCATCTAGGGGCAAAGGTGTCTGATGTTAATGGAGGGATCCTGTAAATCAGAGGTGTTAACTCACTGTTTGTCTATGCAAGTGGCCAGCAAAACTCCCGAGTGAGATGGAGGGATTAAAATGCAACTGGGAAATCTTCAACAAAATAACCAGGCTTATTACAGTGTTGCCCCCTTTCAATGACTTTGCCTTCCAGCCCAACAGACCTATTCATTATTTCCTAGATTCAGACAGAGTTCTATCTCCTGCCCCCATACCTTTCCTCTCAAAGTCCCAAGCTTCCTTCATGACTCAGCTCATGGCCAACCTAGCTCATTACCACCCTCCTAAGAGAAACCTATCCTGACTCTCCTAATTGTGAATGCTGTCTCCACCTTCACATTATCATATGTGCCCATCTCTGTTTACATGTTTTATTTATTCCTGCTCCCAGGAGAATATAAATTCCTTGAAAGAAAGGATTATGTTTTGTTTTGTCCTTATACCCTCAGTACCTAGCAGAACACCTAACAGATAGTAGGAACATAAGAAATGCTTGTTGTATTGGCACTAAGCACAGCACATTTGTTAATAGAATCACAATTTTTGTTTTTTAAAAAGTCAGAAAGATGTAGTAGAAAGAGCACTTGACCTGGAGTCTGATGACTTAGGTTTGAATTTTAGTTATACCCTTAGTAAGTGACCTGACTTCTCTGGGCCTTAGTTTCCTCATCTGAAAAACTAGCAGCCCAACATCATCTCTAATCATTTTCAGTGATAAAAAATATAATCCTGTCATTTAGAGAATCCAAAGCCCAAATGATTTGCTCAAAATCACAGAGAAAGTTACCATGCCAAGAAAAGAACCTAGGATTCTTCTTATTTAAGGAGGGTGTGGTGCTTCATTACTGATAGTGACGAATGGCATTTACCAAGGGTAATTAACTATGGTTAAGAAAGATGCAAATGACTGCATAATAATATTGGTTAATTATGGATGATAAAATTTAGAATAATTATTATTATCCCATGTACCCGCAAACAGTATGTAGAGGCAGCTAGATGGTGAAGTGGAGAAAGTGCTGAGCCTGGAGTAAGGAAGACATGAGTTCAAATTCTGCTTCAGATACTTACTAGCTTGTAACCCTGGGCAAGTCATTTAACATCAATCTGCCTCAGTTTCCTCAACTGTAAAGTGGGGATAATAAAAGCATCTATGTCCAAAGGCAATTGAGGATTAAATAAAATAATATTTGCATTTTTTGTGGTAACTAAGAATTGGAAATTGAGGGGATGCACATTAATTGGGGAATGGCTGAACAAGTTGTGGTACATTGTAATGGAATAATATTATTGTGATATAAGAAATGACGAGCAGGATGATTTCAGAAAAACCTGGAAAGACATACATGAACTGATACAAAGTGAACTGAGCAGAACCAGGAGAACATTATACACAGTAACAACAATATTGTATGATGAAGAATTGTGAATGACTTAGCTATTCTCAGCAATATAATTGTTCAAGACAATCCCAAAGGACTTATGATGAAAAATATTATCTGCCTCCAGAGAAAGAACTGATACTGTCTGAATACAAACTGAAGCAGTCTCTCTCTCTCTCTCTCTCTCTCTCTCTCTCTCATGTTCTTGTATAAAATGACTACTATGTAAATGTTTTACATGCTTACACATGTGCAACCAATATCAGATTGCTTTCCATCTCAGGAAGGGAGTGATAGAATTTGGAAGTCTTAACTTTTTTTAAAATGTTTTTTTTTAATTTTACATGTAATTGGGGGAAAAACAAAATAGCACTTTTTTTAAAATAGCATTTGCAAAGTATAAGTGTATAGCACAATGCCTGGCACATAGTAGGTGTTTGATAAATGCTTTCTTCCTACCTTCATTCTTTCTTTCCTTCCTTCTTTCTGTCTAAGAACCAATCTGATTAAATTCAAAGGGGCTAATCCCCAGAGGATTGGCCACAGGGTAAATTAATTCCTTTTAGCCATAGCTATTCCCGCAAACATCTAGGGGAAAGAGAGGTGTCAGGCATTGGTGGAGAGACCATGTAGGTGCATGAAGCTACAGATCTTTGGAATACTAGCACAAAAAGTTAGAAATATATCATAGAAAGTCAGTCATCCCCAAATAAAGCAAACATTTAATTCAGCAACAAGTGTTTATTAAGTACCCACCATATGCAAGATGAGAGATGGCATGTAGAGAGGTAGAGAGCTGGTCTCAGAATCAGGAATACCTGGGTTCAAATCTGGCTTCTGACACCTACTGACTGTATGACCCTGGACAATTCACTTAACCTCTTTGTGCCCCGGATAACTCTCTAAGACTGTAATTGCAGAACACATGCTGATCTGCATCGGTAGAGGGAGCTTTCTTACTGAGAGTTCCCTATACAGCTGAAATCATAGGTCCATTGTGTAAGACCCTGTGCTAAGCACTGGGGATACAAAGATAGATATGAAATAGATCCCAATCTCAAGCAGCTTACATTTTAATGGGCAGGAGAAGACAAGGAAGAGAAGAAGGAAGGATAAGCATACAAACAAAGAGAAAGGGAGAATGAGATGATAAGGAGAGGCCCAGACACACAGCTAGAAGTTTGAGGAGAGATAAATCACTCTCACCCATCTAGGGCAGGACATAGCAGGCATCATAGAAGGTTTGATGAGAGTTAGGATTTTAGTTGGGTCTTGAAAAAAGGGAGGGATTTCAGCACATGAAGAGGTGGGGTGGAGTACCTTCCAGGCACAGAGAAGAGCAGGAACAAAAGTATGGAGCCAGGAGAGAGAGCAGGCCAAGAAGGAAGCACAGAGTTGAACATAAGAGTGCCTGAAGGCAGGGGTGTGCTGGTAAATTTTTAATAACCAGCTCTCTGGAAAAAAAAAAGTGTAGGTATAACATGTTTTTAAGTTTAATCAAAAATCATTAACATTTTTCCATCACTTTTTTAAGTCTAGACAATTATCAAAATAATAAAACAAGCTTTGATTTGTAGCAGTTTCTGATTCCCAAGGTGTAAATGTTCACACTGCAAATATACCAATGAGCTGGCTTCAGCACCCTGCTGCACAGAAGATAGTGGTAGGACAGCAGGTTGGAAAGCTAGGTTCCAGAAATATTCTATAGGATCTTAAAGAGCAAATGTAGGATATTATCATTTTATTCGTTGGCACTGGGAAACTACTGAAGATTTTTGATTAGAGGAGAGATATGATCATAGTGGTGTTTCATAAGATTACGTGGTAATAGAGTGAATAAACTGAATAGGACAGACTGAAATTTAAGTATTAAAATTGTTTAGGTGAAGACAGATACCAGGCTCTCCTAATATCTCAGATGCAATTCTACCCATACCACCTTATGGACCTAGAACAGTAATAAATTTTTGATAAATCTTCTTGATTGAGATATTAGAAAATATGGAAACTCACCAATAAGATGCTCTCCCAAGACATCCAGCGGATAGGGAGCACTGCCCGACCTTGGATCCTATAGTAATCTCCACTGTATAGGTTCCTGCTCATCCCAAAGTCTGCAATCTTGATGGTGTAGTTCTTACCCACTAAGCAGTTTCGTGTGGCCAGGTCCCGGTGGACAAAATTTAGAGAGGACAGATACTTCATGCCTGATGCTATCTGTGTGGCCATGAACTTCAGGTTTATATAACTGAGGAAATGTGAGAAGAAATAATCAGAACCAGGGCCCCAATGAATGGAGATGGACACAGGTAAACCTTCTCACCTTACCTGGCCTATTGCAGTAAATGCCTAATTGACCTCCCTGCTTCCAATCCAATCTCCACATAACTGCCAAATCTTTATTCCTAAAGCAAAGGTCTGACCATGAGCCATGCCCCATACCCCGACTTTAAAATCTTCAATGGTTTTCTGTTGTCTCTAGGATAAAATACATACCCCTAGCTTGGCATTTAAAGGCCTCCATAGTCTGGCCTTCACCCTCCTTTCCAGGTTTACCTAAAATTTTGTTGCTTCATTTCATTGCTTTATTGCTTCAAAGCAATATTCCTGTGAGATTGGCCTACCTGTTATCTGTCTCATATGACATTGCCTCTCCCATTCCTTTGTTTTTTTCATTAGTTCCCTACATCTGGAATGCCATCCCTCTTCACTTGTGCATCGTACTGTGGAATTCCTGGCTTCCTTCAAAGTAGTACAGCTATCCTTTCATACCTGATGGTGTTGCTAATCTCAATTATTAGTAATCTCTCCCCCTTGAAATGACTTTGCATGTACTTTGTAGTTAATTATTTTTCTATGTACTGCATTCTCCTCCTACACCTCCTGACCCAAGTAGCATATAAGCTCCTTTACAATAGACACGGTTTATTTTTGTCTCAAACCCCCCACTCCCCTCCCACCGCCTAGCGCAGTACCTTGTACACAGATTTGTGGGATTTAATTGAATCATGGGTCTGGAGAGATGAAGTTTCTTGAGGGTTGGGACAATATCTTGCAGGTATGTTGTAGATGGAATTCTCACTGGTACATTTTTAGACTAGATTGATGCTTACATCCCTTTTGACTCTGAGATTCTGCTATTTTGCGTCACTGACAACACTTAGCAAAGTACTAGGCATAAAGAATACCATATGTTCAATAAAAAAATTAAGTTAATAGATTAACATTATTTTTTGATGATGTAATGTTCAGGAACAAATCCTCAAACAAGATTAAAACATTGCTATTCTGTTTGAGAGCTAGGGTTTTTTTTTTCATTATAAAAAGAGAGAAACTGAAATGTAGACTTAATAATAATAATGAAGAAAATAATAAAATTTCATATTTATATAGCTCTTTAACAATAGAAAACTCCCTGAGTGTAGAGACTGTTTTCTCTCTTTGTATTTGTGTCTCCAGGGCCTAGCACAGTTTTTGGTTAGTAGAGAGAAAGAGGAAACATCACCCTTGGAGATCAGTCACTCTACCTTTTGGATGGTTCTAATTGTTGGGAATTTTGTCCTTCTAACAAGCCTGAAATAGCTTCTTTGTCATTTTTATCTACTGCCTCTAGTCTCCCTGCTGGGGCCAAGAAGATCTTGTCTAATCCTTCTTCCAATGACAGCTTTTTAAATGGTTTAAGATAATAATCATTTCCTCCTTAAAGTTTCTCTTCTTTGGGATAAGTATCCCCAGTGTCTTCAACTGATGAGTTAAAGATGATGACAAGGTCTCCAGTCCCCCTTACCATCTTCCTACTTCTCCTCTAGATGCTCTCAAGCTTATCAGCATCCTTCCTCAAATGTGGCGTCAGATAAACCTAACACAAAATGGCCTGACTCAGTTACCTGACAGTAGGTGCGTTACTGGAGGGAGGGTTCTGGGGTTCGTGTCGGGAAAGGAATTGATTGAGGTCCCCGTTCTCCATGTACTCAGTGATCATACATAGGGGGTCTTCTGCAATGCACACTGCTAACAGCCGGATGATGTTTGGGTCCTTTAGCCGGGACATAATCTTTATCTCCTTGAGAAAATCATTCCTTTGGAAAGACATAGACAAATATATACACACCAGACACAGACCAACACAGAGGTTACTGGAGTTGGAAGGGAAAAGCATCCCCTGCAAAGACTCCTCCCACCTCCACTTACCCATAACTCTACCTGACCTTGCTCTGCTTTGCAGAATAGGGATCAAATGGCTGGTGGTTGTCTGTTCCGCTTGCTCTACAATATATGTTCTCATAGAACTATATGCTCCTATAATGATGTTGGCAAACTAGATTTGTAAACAGAATCCTATTTTAAGTGCATTGTGGGAGATTGTTATTTAAAGGAGCTCTAGTCTGAATTATTTGATAAAGTGAAACATCTTTTTTCAAAGTGAATAGTTTCTTCTTGATTTATGTATCTTATAAAGCTATATATTCATATACCAAGTGTTTTTAACAGTTATAATCCAACCATCCAGATAATTAAGAGGATAGCCAGTTTTAAAGCAACCCTATTTAAAGGCACCCTCTAGTAACATACTGTTTCTTCAAAAACTGCACTTAGATAGCCAAGAATAAAGAAATAGATCTGTACTGGCTGGGGACCTCTAGAAAACCTCCAGCTTGAACATTTTATGATTTGTTGCAAGTTCTAGCCACGCAGGTCCATTGAATGATGAAAAACCTGGGTCACTACTGACATTTTCCCAGCCAGCAGCTGGCCCCTAGCTTATCTTGGACCCTATAGGAGCTGGTCAGAATAGCATGTCCTAAGACCCTTATGTGCCATATAAGAATCATCTATAAAAGGGTGGCTATATTGGAACTTCCCTGTTTTCCCCCACACTGAGATCTCCTGAGATGATTACAACCTTCCCATATCTACTCAGACCCTGACACTGTTCTCTTAGCTCACCTCAAATCCCTAAAAGCTCAGATACCTCCAAGAGGCTCAGGGACTCTGACATACAACCTTGCTGAGTAGGATAGGACACACAAATGAATGTGAATCACATCTCAGTCCTCCAAATTTAAACACTGGCAAGGTGTTTAATATATCCTTTGTATCTCCTTGTCACTTCTCCTTTAAAAAATTATGTGCCAAAATCATAAATACACCTTTAAGGATGAAGAACATAGTCCTTCAGTATGATTTGGAAGGCTGCACCGCCCATTCAGCCTAATAAAGTTTCATAGGTAACCCTCTGAAAATGCTCATAACTTTATCACCTCTCTCCTTCCCAGACTCTAAGTGTGCCAACCATAGGATTCCCCAGGGACACACTGTCGTGATTCTGGGGCCTTATCATGTTATTTGAGACAAGGACAATAAATTTTCTCTCAAAGGTATGTGGAATGCTCATGACATAAATCAAAACAACACAAGGCAGTATTATCCAGATGTGTAGCTCTTGCAGAGAAAGTAAGTCTCAATAGTGGAATAACTCATCAATGCTGTAATGGAAAGGCTGTTTGATAAGGCTGTCAAGGCAGGAACCGTAATCTACATTAATCTTAAACTCTTAGGTGGCTTGAGGAATTACTAGGGGACTTTTTGGAATAAATTTCCAAGTAAAAACAGCTGGATATTCTCAGGTTCAGTGGACACAGAAAGAAAGGCAAAGAGAGTATAATGCAGTGTTAAAAGGTACACCACACCAGTGTTCAAATACTGATTTCGATACTTACTGAGTCTCTAATGATAGACAAATCATTTAAACTCTCTCAGCCTCCATTTTTTTCATATATACATCTGGCAATAATAATATCAGAAATACTTATCTCACAAGATTGTTGTGAGGGTCAAATGAGAGAGTATATGTAAAATGCTTCATATACTTTAATGAGTTACATTAAATGTCAGTTATTATTATAGAAGAAAAAAAGGAAAAGAGAAAACAGAGAACACTGAAGGAAAGGAATTAACAGGATGAAAAGGAAGGGAAACAGGAGATTTGGCAAGAACATGTGGGCCTGATTGCAAGGAGTGTGTTTGCTCAAAGGATGTTATTGGGGCTGTGAGTGACCTTCTCTCTGTCCTGGACAAACTGTTCACTTCATCCTCCCCTTGTGTTGGGACAGGGAAAGGAACATGAACAGGCCTGCTACATACCTGCAAGCCAAGAGCACATTCGATTTTTCCATTGGGTGAGGGAGATTCCCATTGATGACAAGGATCCAGGGGCCGGTAACCCTGAGGATCATGATGCCAACCAGGCTTGGGAGTGGATTTAAGACTGGGGTAGGGAACATATTGGACAGAATGATAAGCAGGTATTTAGAAGGAATAGTGGCCATGCTGCCAGCCAGCTTGAGAAAACTGGAACCAACCTGGAACAGTGACCAAACTACCAGCCGTTCATGAGGATGACACAAAATTGAGAACACTGCAGACAAGATACCACTGACTAAGAACCAAGTGATCTAACAGTGACAATGGCAGCAGCACCAAGTGTGGGAGGAGTAAGTGGACTTCTTTCAAGCAAGTGAATTTCTGGGAGATTCCACCCCTTCAACAAGCCTTCAGATCCCTTGGGTCTAAGTGGAGTCTTATCTAGACTATGAGTTTCAGATATGGTACTAGAATACAGGGCAGGGCTAAAGAAAGTGTTTTTCTATTATTTTTGTTGTTATTATTGTTCTTTAACAAACTTGTTGTTTTTAATGTTCATTTTTTTAAGCTTCACTTTCTTGTAGGGAGAACAGGAAGTGTGATCCTTAAAGAGAAATGAACCAGATTTCTGATGTTTCCAAAGAAGATCTAGGTGGGGATGTGAGCTATGAGGAATAATAAGAGAAAGAACCTCCAAAGATTGAAACTGGCCCATGTAAGCTTAGAGTGGAGATCCTGAGCCCCAGGTAATATAGGGGGTGACAGAAAAATGACAGAAGCTTATCTCTAAGTTGGTAGAAATGCCAGTAACTATGGAGCTAGTCAGAATACAGATTAAGAAGGTGAACTGCATGCAGGGTAAGAAGATAAATGTGGAAGAAAAGAGAGAAGATGAAGACTGTCTATTTGCCTTCATCATTCCCAGGCATTGGGCAGATCCCAAACCTTGTCCTCTTATAAATTCCTTGAGAGTTTCTAAGAAATATTCCTGGTTCAAAGAAGCGAATACACATAAAGGAAGATTCAAAACACGGATGACAGACCTGGCATTCTTGTTGGCATCTGCTCGGAGCATTTTCACAGCCACCAAGGCAGGCTGGTTGGTGTTGACATCTAACGCAAAATCTTTGTCCATGAATTTTTCCATGCCCTCCACTTCGCAGAGATGAACCTGGACAAAATTCATTGAGTCTCAGCATCATCATTTGCTCTTTCAGAGTTTTTGGTGGGCTTTTCCTAGAGATAAGCTAAGTGGGACAGAGGAATTGGCAACCAACCAGACACTTCACCTGTCCCTCCAGCAGATGAAAGAACTGAAAGGATAGAACAGGGATGATATGATGACTCTCATGACCTATCACTTCCCTACTGAGATAGCCTTCTAATTGGTCTCCTTGCCTTAAGTCTCTCCCTACTTTGCTCCGTCCTCTATATAGCCAACAAAGTGATTTTCCTAAGGCACAGATCTAACCATGTTATCCTCCCCTCCGCTCAATAAACTTTAGTGGTTCTTTGTTACTTCTTGGATCAAATATAAACTACATGGTTGGGCACTTAGAAGCTCTTTATAACCTAACCCTACCCCGCTTCAACCTTTCCTGCATTATTATATATTACCTCTCTCTGTGCATTCTATGATCCAACCAAACTGGTCTTTCTCTATTGCTGACACAGATCATGTTATTTCCCATATCCTGTCCTTTGTATTGGTTGCCCCATGCAACTGTAATGCTCTCTCTTGGAGTTTCTTTCTCTTGTATTCTCCATTTTCCTTCAAGACTCAGCTCAAGGCCTTCCCTGATTCCCGTCCCCACACCAGCTGTCAGTTCTCTGCCTCTCCTAGATTACCTTGTAAGTGTTTTATGTATACCTATATACATCCATTTTCACTCCTCTATTAGAATGTAAGCTCCTTGAGGGCAGGGATTGTTTTGTTTTGCCTGGTATTTCCAGCATCTAGCACAATGCTACATGTACATAGTAAGCCCTTAATCAATGCTTGTTGATTGACTATAGTGGGGTGAGCCCTGGACTAGGGAGTCAGGAGCCGCAGCTCTGCCATTACCTTGGACTGGTCACAGCCTTTCTGACTCATTTTACTGATTTGCAACATGAGTCCAGTAATACTTGAACTGTCTACCTCATGGAATTGTAAGAAAAGAAGTGTTTTGAAAATCTTAAAGGACTGTCTAAATGTGAATTATTATGAATACACATTCCAAACTATGATACAAGTGGCCGATTAAAATCGTCATAAAACACTGGCCTAACATGAAATATTTCCCTCTTCGTAACAATAACATATTGTTATGTTCTTGCTGTCAAGATTTAAACTTATTCTGCTTGACCTCAGTTGTGGGAGCTAGGATCAATGGGTAGAAGTTGCAGAGAGGCAGATTTAGATTTGTTGTAAAGAAGAGTTTTCCCAATGGCAGGATCTTCCAGTTGGACAGAGCTCATCCATCATGTAGCCCAACCTGTCTTGAAGCCCCTCCGTCTACAGTATCACAGACAAGTGGTGACTGAGCTTCCACCTGAAGAAATCCAGTGAGGTTTGTGTGATACTTTTTTATTGTCACATTGCACTGAACTTTTCCCTTATGGCAAACCTAAATTTGAATCTCTGTCATTTCATAGAATCAGAGGACTTTGAATTGGAAGAGAACATAGAGCTAAAGTCTCTCATTTCACAAATGAGGAAATTGAGGTCCCAAGAAGTTAAATGACTTGCTCAAAGTCACCTAAGTAAAAAAAAAGCACAGTTAGGTTTCAAATCTAGGTTCCTTGGGCCCAAATCCCATGAGCTTTCAGTTATATCATTCATTGCTTTTAGTTCTTCCCTCTAGGGTTAGGTAGAATGAATGTGATAGTCCTTCCAATATGTGAAGACAGCGATCATGTACTCCATTAAATTTTCTTTGCCAGGCTCTATCCCCAGTTCCTTCAAATTATCCTCTTATGTCACTTTCTCCAGTCTTCTCCCTATCCTAGCCATCCTCTTCTGGACCTGATCCAACTTATTAATGCTCTTCCTCAAAATGTGGTACTCAGAACTGAGCCCAATACTCAAGAAATGGACCAGTTAAGGGAGAGTACAAGAGGACTATCACCTCCCTTATTCTGAGCACCATGCTTCATTTCAGGAAGAGTAAGTTATCATTAGCCTTCTTTGGTGACCATATCACAATATCTATTATCATACATATATATCATACAATATCATTCCGTATTGAGCTGGAAATAGACCAAAAGCCTAGGCCTTTTTTTAACATCTTCTATTTCCTGTACTTGTAAAGTTAGTTTTTTGAACCAATGTAGAGTAGGGGCAGCTAAGTGGTGTAGTGGATAGAGCTCCAGGCCTGGAGTCAGAAAGACTCATCTTCCTGAATTCAAATCTGGCCTAAGACACTTCCTAACTGTGTAAACTTGGACAAGTGACATAACCCTGTTTGCCTCACTTTCCTTATCTATAAAATGAGCTAGAGAAAGAAAAGACAAACCACTCCAGTATCTTTGCCAAGAAAACCCCAAATGAGGTCATAAAGAGTCAGACATGACTAAAATAACTGAACAAAGAACATTTATCCCTATTATATTCATCTTATGTCCTGCCTATTTTTCTAGCCTCTGGAGATCTTGTATCCACATTCAGTAAACTAATGTATTAACTATCGCTCCTAGCATGATCTCACCTACAAATTTGGTAAGCATATCATCTATGTCTTCCTCCATGTCTTGGTCAGGCAGCTAGGTTATGTGGTACAGAGAACTTTGGACCTGTAGCCAGGAAGATTTAAGATCGAATCTAGCCTTGGACACTAGCTGTATGACCCTGTGCAAGTCACTTTACCTCTGTCTGCCTCAGTTTCCTCAACTGCAAAGTGGGAATAAATAATACCATCTAACTTTTAGAGTTATTGTGAGGATTAAATGAGATATTTGTAAAGCACTCAGCACAATGCCTGGCAGAAAGAAGGTTTTTACTAAATGTTTCTTTCATTTCTTCTTCCTTCTTCTTTCCTTCCTTCCTTCCCTTCTTCCTTCCTCTTTCTTTTCTTCCTTTCTCCTCCCTTCCTTCCTTTTCAATGGTAAAAATGTTGAAAATCACAAGGCCAAGAACCCATCAAAGACCTCACTCCAAGCTAATCTACACCTATCAATGACTACCCTTTGACTCAAAAAGTGGAATGGACTGCCCTTGGAGTCCATTGGAGGCAAGTCTTTTTCACTTTTGTCACCTTTTTCAGATGTTATAAAGGGCATTTATGTTTTGTATAGAATGGTTTCAACTGATAACCTCTGAGGTTCCTTCCAGTTTGATGATTTTATGATTCTCTAACTATGATTAACCATGTAACCATTAACTATGTAACTATCATAACATTATGACTACAACTCCCTATAAAGAGGAATTCAGTATAATGTAGGTATATCTTGGAGCCCCATCTAAAGAAACTTAGTTACTGGAATACCAAGTAGCCATTGTTTTCTTTGTTTTGTTTTTTTGTTAGGCAATGGGATTAAGTGACTTGCCCAAGGTCACACAGCTAGTAAGTGTTATGTGTCTGAGATCACATTTGAACTCAGGTCCTCCTGACTTCAGGGCCAGTGTTCTATCCACTGCACCACTTAGCTGCCCCCCAAGGAGACATTGTTATGAAGATCATAGTAAAACACAACCCTGCAGAATAGAACCTAGAGATAATGCTATGGAGAGGCTCTATTATGTTCTCTCCAATAACAATATTTTGAAGGTCAAGATGGAATGGAAATTCAAATGAGGAAGTTCTGTGCTATCTTCATTGACCTCCACCAACCACCTATACCTCTGCCAAGGAGTAGGCATGGGAAATTAACTAGCCCTAGAATTTAATAGAAGCAGCAGAATGGGCTAGGTTGCCTCTGGGAAATTGTACAGTGCTTTTCATGACTCTAAACTTCTTCCTAAAAACAAAAGCCGGTGTTAGTAACAGCAATATTCTTCTAGTGGTGATGCAGGGCTGAGAAACATGAAATAACAGTCTCCAAAGAATTCAAGTTGAGGATAACCCAAAGGGCAGCGGAGAGGCACAAGTTTATTGCAACATCACTCAAAAAAGAGTTATGTAAGATAATATGTATGACTAGAAAAGAAGAAAGGTCAGTCCCCTGCAAAGAGTAAGGGATAACTGATGAATAGCTGATGTGCTTAATTGGTATCCACCCAATGTCACAAGATCTAAAGGAAGACCCCTGACATTGGGTGGAGCCTTGGAGGAAGATTTATGAGAAGCCAAACATGAGAGTCACACAGGATGAGAGGGCATGGGTGGTTTATACTGTGCTTTGTTGGGAGAAGTATCCAAGTCAATGAGATCACAGATCCATTGAAATATCCAAGTACAAAGTTCCAAAATAATTTCCTTTAGATTGAAGCACTGCATGTCAGCTGCAAGTCTCCTGAGGAACTGCTGTCAACTGAAATCACTACATCTCATATTCCCAGAAAGATCCTGTTACTAATATGATTTATAGGTGAAATGCGTCCTTTTATGCATATCGATGTGGCATCACTTCACAAATGCTTTACCTCTTCTCTTGGGTGGTTGACTTGCTAGGATGCAAAAATGAGAGAACAAGTATGTCTGTTTTTCACTATTTTAGATACAACTCCCATTACAGGGAGAAAAAGGACATATCTCTCATCCAGCAGGATGTTTCTAGACAGTTCATAATGGATGGTCACATCTCTGAAATTCCCCCCTTCCCCACCTCTCCATCTCCTTCCATGTACAAACAAGACTGAAATTTTAGGTTGTCTTTCAGTGTATCTGAAGCACAGTTACTTATCTTCAAAGAGGAAGCATGAAAGTGGCAAGAACAATGGCATCAGGGAAGATGGCTTGTAATCCCAGATCTGCCCCCACCCAATTGTTGTATCCCTAGAGACCGAGACAGTGCCTGGAATATAGCAAGAGCTTAATGAATTGACTGATTGGGATCACTTCATCCATTTTTCTAGACATCACTTGCCTCACTTGTAAAATGAGGGGTCTGAGCTAAATGAACTCTCAGATCTCTGATGATTCCAATATTTTAGAACTCTTTAAAAGGTCCATTTAAAATACTCCATCATCAAGCTTCCTCTTGAATATAGGGGGGAAGACAGAAAAGACCTGACACTCAAGAGGATACAGTCAGTAGGTATCATTGAACAATAGAAAGCTGAGGCATATCCAATGTATCAACTCACCTCTCCAAACTGGCCTTCTCCTAGCTTCTCCTTGAAAGTTAAGAGTTTCCTGGGGAATTCTTCTACAGCCACATCTTTACCCGAGAGTAGGTCCATGGTAACTGCAGGTACTGAATAGGTGTTGCCTCCTGTCACACCTTGCAGGTTCACAATGTCAGCTTCTGCATAGTGGGGGACACCCTCAGGGCCATTTGGCTGAACTGGCTTCACCACACTACTGCAGCCTGGGAAGATGAGAAAGATGGAGTCTGGTTCTTTGGAGTTCTCCAAAAGGGAGTCATCTGAGTTTAGAGTAGGGTAGACCCCCCAAAATATTCAACCAGTTTATCACAGTATATAGCTTAGTATGACTTGTCCATTAGAAGGAAAGGACAGTTTTCAGAGGAAGAAATCCAAGCTATCAATAGCCATATGAAAAAATGTTCTCATTAATAATTAGGAAAATGAAAATTAAAACAACTCTGAGGCACAGCTGCCACATTGACAAAGTTGATTTTTTTAAAAAATTGTTTGGCTTTTAAAGCCCTTAGCAATTGGATCTCTTCCTACCTTTTCAGGTTTTTTTTGTACTTTACTCTCCTCCATACATGCTACAATCCAAAAACACTGACCCTCTTGCTGTTCCTTGGACAGGACACTCCTTCTGACTCCTTGCCTTTTCACTTTCTGACCCTCATGCCTCATGCCTGACCTCCTCCTTTCACTAGTTTCCTACAAATGTTGGCTCACATCTCACCATTTACAAGAAACCTTTCCCAATCCCACCACCGCCAGTGCCTTCTCTCTGATGTTATCTCCATTTACAGTTGTCGTTGCTGTTCAGTTGTGTCTGTCTTTTCGTGATCCCATTACATGCTAGGCTTTTTTATCCTCCATTATCTTTTGACGTCTATTCAAGTTCACATTCTTTGCTTCCATGACAATATCTATCCATCTCATCCTCTGCCATCACCTTTTCTTCTTACCTTCAATCTTTCCCAATGTCATGGTCTTTTCCAACGAGTCCCATGTTCTTATTATGTGGCCAAAGTATTTAAGCTTCAGCTTCAGTATTGGACCTTCCAGTTAATAGTCTGAATTAATTTCTTTAAGTATTGACTGATTTGAACTCTTTGCTGTCCAAGAGACTCTCCAAAGTCTTCTCCAGAACCACAATTCGAAAGCATTGATTCGGTAGCACTCAGCTTTCCTTCTAGTCCAACTCTCACAGTCATACATTGCTACTGAAGAACCCACAGCTTTGATTGTATGAACCTTTGTCAGCAAGGTGATGTCTCTGCTTTTTAATATACTGTCCAAATATGCCATAGGCTTCCTTCAAAGGAAAAAGTGGCTTTTAATTGCATGGCTACAGTTGCCATCTGCAGTGATCTTTGAACCCAAGAATATAAAATCTGACACTGCTTCTATTTCTTCTCCCTCTACTTGCCAGGAAGTGATGGGACCAGTTGCCAAGATCTTAGTTGTTTGTTTGTTTGTTTGTTTGTTTTTGTGTTAAGCTTCAAACCAGCCTTTATACTTTCCTATTTCACCCTCATGAAGAGGCTTCTTAATTCCTCTTCACTTTCTGCCATCGGAGTGGTATCATCTGCATATCTGAGGCTGTTGATATTTCTCCTGGCAATCTTAATTCCATATTTTGATTCATCCAGCCTGGCATTTTGCATGATGTATTCTGCATGTAAATTAAATAACTAAGGTGACCATATACATCCTCATCATAATTCTTTTCCAATCTTAAATCAATCAGTTGTCCCATGTTCATTTCTAACTGGTGCTTCTTGGGCCACATACAGATTCCTCAGGAGACAAGTAAGATGATCTGGTTCTCCCATCTTTTTGAGGACTTGCCACATTTTGTTGTGATCCATACAGTCAAAGGCTTTAATGAATGAAGCAGAAGTAGATGTTTTTGTTTCATTCTGTTTTGTTTTTATTTTTCTGGAATGTCCTTGCTTTCTCCATAACCCAGCAAATATTGGCAATTTGGTCTTTAGTTCCTTTGTCTCTTCAAACACCAACATGCTCTTCTGGTAATTCTTGGTTATTGCTGAAATCTAGCTTACAGATTCTTAAGCATGTGAAATGAGCACAATTGTTCGGTAGTTTGAACATTCCTTGGCATTGCCCTTCTTCAGGATTGGGATGTAAACTGATCTTTTCCAATCCAGTGGCCACTGTTGTGTTTTCCAAATTTGCTAGCATATTGAGTGCAACACTTTGACAGCATTATCTCTTAGGATTTTAAATAGCTCAGCTGGAAATCCATCACCTCCACTAGCTTTATTGTTAGCAATGTTTCCTAAGGTCCACTTGACTTAATTCTCCAGGATGTCTGACTCTAGAGTGGTAACCACACCATTGTGGTTATTGGTGATGCTAAAATCTTTCTTGTGTAGGTTTTATTTGTGTGTGTGTGTGTGTGTGTGTGTGTGTGTGTGTGTGTATTCTTGCCACATCTTCTTAATCTCTTCTGCTTCTTTTAAATCCCTACCTCTTTTGTCTTTTATTGTGTCCATTTTTTTCATGAAACATTCCCTTAATATCTCTAATTTTCTTGAAGAGATATCTTTCCCATTCTATTCTTTTCTTCTATTTCTTTGCATTGTTCATTTAAGAAGATCTTCTTATCTCTCCTTGCTATTCTATGGAATTCTGCATTTATTTGGGCATATCTTTCCTTTTCTCCTTTTCCTTTACTTCTTTTCTCAGGTTTTTGTAAAGCCTCATCACAGTCATTTTGCTTTCTCGCTCTTCTTTTTCTTTGGATTTTTTGTTGTTGTTGCTGCCTCCTGGACAATATTGTGAACCTTCCGCAGTTCTTCAGGCACTCTATCTACCACATCTAATCTCTTAAATCTATTCATCACCTCCACTTCATATTCATAAGGGATGTTATTTAGGTCATACTTATATGGTCTGATGGTTTTCCCTACTTTCTTCAATTTAAGTCTGAATTTTGCAATAAGAAGCTCATGATCTGAGCCACAGTCAGCTCCAGGTCTTGTTTTAACTGACTATATAGAGCTTTTCCACCTTTGACTCCAAAATATATAATCAATCTGATTTCTATATTGACCATCTGGTCAATACGTCATTGTGTAGAGTTGTCTTTTGGATTGTTGAAAAAGAGTATTTTTTTATGACCAGCAAGTTACCTTAACAAAATTCTATTAGTCTCTGCCTTGCTTCATTTTGTACTCCAAGGTCAAACTTGCCTGTTATTTCAGTTATCTTTTGATTTCCTACTTCAGTATTCCAATCCCCTATGATGAATGTGACATCTTTTTCTGGTGTTATTTCTAGAAGATATTATCACTCTTCATACAACTTATCAACTTTGGCCTCTTCAGCATCAGGTTGCAGCATAGAATTATATTACTATGTTGTTGAATGGTTCGCCTTAGATTTGAACAGATATCATTTCGTCATTTTTGAAATGTACCCCAATACTGCTTTTCTTACCCTTTTATTAACTATGAGGGCTATTCCATTTCTTCTAAGGGATTTTTGCCCACAGTAGTTCATTTAGTGATAATGAATTAAATTCACCCATTCCCATCCATTTAAATTCACTAATGTTGATGTTCATTTATCAAGAGTTGTGATATTTCCTTTCCCCAGGGGAAATACCTATATAGGCAATAGGGAAATACCTATCTTTGAATAATTTTCATTCATTTATGTGTGTATATATATATGCATATATAGCAGTATAATATATATATATATATATATGTATGTATGTATTTATACACATAAAATGTTTCATGCACCAAAGATGTTTATATGTCAAGGATGTATTATTCTGTATCCAATGGTGATTGCAACCTCTTTATGACTTGTACTCTTAAAGAACTACCGGAGGCTCAGCTCAGTCAAGAAACTTACCCTCAGTAGTGTAGTAAAGGTAGGATTTGAATTCAGGCCTACCTGAATCTAAGTTCAACATGCTAACCCCTTTCTGGCAGCTAAGTAGCACGATGGATAGAGTTCTGGGCCTGGAGTCAGGAAGAGCTCAGTTCAAATTCAGACTCAGATACTTACTAGCTGGGTGAACTTGAGCAAGTTATTTCACCTCTGTCCCAGTTTCCTCATCTATACAATGAGGATAATAATAGCGCCTATCTCTCAGGGGTTTTTGTGAGGATCAAATGATATATTTATAAAGAACTTTTCAAACTTTAAAGTGGTCGATAAACACTAGTTATTATTATTTTGGCTAGGCAGGAGATGTTCATGGACTTTATTAAATCAGAGAAAAGTCATTACCTAACTCAGATCCCATAGCAATTTATGAACTCAAACCTACTTTGTACTTCCTGTCGGCTTTAACATACATACACACATGTGTGTGTATATATATGTCAATATATTAAACATGCATATACATGTATATATACATATAAAAGTTGTATAGGCTGCCAATAATTCCATTGATTAAGACTGATCCGTTTCAGTTATGCTAGTCATAAGGCTTTCTTTGATAACCCCCTCGCCCCATTCCTAACCTGCCTCCTCATCTCCTGGAGCAAATTCAGGGAGTTTCCGTATGAGCCGGGAAGGCTCCTGGTAGTCAGGACCAAGGGGGAAAATACGGTCATAAGTGGAATTGGACTCCTGCTCACTAGGTGATGAAGAATGATTGTTGTTGAACATGCTGGATTCACTAGGCAGGGAAAGACTGACAGTCATTTCATCATCTAGCATCCTCCGGGAAGCCTGCAAGAGAAGAACATGCAAGAGGGCAGTGCTAGACGACAGCAATGAAGAAACATCCTTTCCTCTCTCCTCCCTCCTCCCTCCTCCACTCCCTAGCTCTCTTATTTAGATGAACAAGAACTGAAACAAGGTCTGAGCCCTCCCTCCCCAATCTCATCCCTTTCTGCTATACTGTCTCTCTGCTATACCTCTCATAGTAACCTAATTATTAGAATGGAAGCTTCTTGAGGACCATCTGTGATTTGAACTTTTCATTCTCAACATCTAGCACACTGCCTTTCACATAGGAGGTGCTTTAAAAAAGCTTGTTGAATTGAATTTTAACTTTACTGTAAATATTTGCATTCCTCTTTCATCCTTAAGCATTGCAATTGTGGGACTGTTGATTGTCACTGTGTAACTGTACAGTGCAGCCCTAGTAGAGCACACTGTACACAGTTGGTCCTTAATAAATGTTCATTGGATTGAACTGATGTATATTTGGGACAAACTTGTCAAGGGCTTAGAGAACAACAGCTAAGGGAACAGGGGGAATGTTACATATAAATAGAAGGTAAAATGAATTTCAATTATTTGCCATGGGGAAGAAGAGGCTGAGAAGACAACTCAAAGGAACCTAGTTTTAGAACAGGTTCTAACATCACTAACCCCCTGATTTTGTAGATGAGAAACTGAAGTCCAGAAAGGTTAAGGACTTACCTAAGGTCACACAGTTAAATAAGGTCAAGGTCCTCTGCCTCCAAATCTAGAGTCCTTGGCATTTTATTGCAGTGGCTTAATCTTGGTCTTCAGGTTCATTGGGACAGTGGGAATATAACTTATGCTCTCTAAGAACCTTAATTTCCATAGTGCTATGGCAGGAAGGTGCTGGCTGACCAATTCTCTACCCAGGACACATCAAGAGGAAATAATACTAATACCACTAGTCATAATAACTGATATTTATAGCGTGCTGACTAATATGTCAGCAACTGTGCTAAGCACTTTATAATTACTATCTCATCAACTACCGCATGAGCAAATTAGGTAAACTTTCAGCTGTATGACTTTGGACAGATCACTCCCTTTTCTGGGTCTTAGTTGCCTCATCTGAAAATTAAGAAAAAGGCTGGCTAAATGATCTCTGAGTTCCCTTCTAGTACTGACAGAAGTTCTAAAATCCCTTTAACTGAAGGTCTTTAGAAATGGAAATGGTTGAGTAGGGAATGAAACTATCTACATGTCCTCTTATGATTCATTGAGCTACCAGCTTCTTGAAGTCTCTACACCTGTGAACCTGGCCATCTTTCTGATCAATTTGTGGACTGTAGAGAGGTAAGAATATTGGATTTGGGTTTTAACAGTCTAGGCTCCAGTCCCAGTCCTGGAACGGATTGTGTAACATTGACCAAGTAATCTCACCTTTGTTTCCTTCCCTATTAAAAAAAATACTATTTATTCTGCTTACCTCACAAGAGGATCAAGTGAGATAATGAGTGTGAAAATACTTTGTAAACATGGCATTTGCCAGTACTTTGGTCTTTTAGTCCTAAAGCAACTGTAGACCGTGGAAAGGGAGAGGGAGATGTGTTTGAAACCCCATTATGTTCTTCCTCACCTTCTCCAGCATTTTTTGCCAAAACTGCCTCCAAAGAATGATGACGATGATGGCCACAAGAATGAAGATGATGGCCACCAGGCAGCCAATCAAGATGCGAGTGTTGCTATCATCCACTTTGAGCATCGGATCTATAGAGAGAAGAGAAACAGAAGGATGTGATTATCTCATCAGGAGACAATGGAGCACAGAATAGACTGGATGATTGCTGAGGGCCCCATTCTGAGAGAGGAGAGGAAGACAATGTCTTTCTCACAGTGATTCCAGAAGCAGCTACTTAAAGATCTCTTTGTTCCTTCTCTTGCTTACCCTGCTGGGTGCTTTGTTCAGTGTCCGAGGCTTGGCTTAATTAACTTGTAAGTTTTTAGCTACCTTAGGCCTAGGATGAAGGATCTCCCCACTATTAGCTTGCCAAATGTTTCCCTGCAACCTTGTGTTGGAATCAAGATGGGTGAGGTCTGTGGCTCCTGTTATGCCTCTGATACAAAGGAGTTACATGGCCAGGGTGACTTCTTATCTAGTTCAGGAACATGCCAAGAAATCTAAAGGACCCTCTTAATGTAAAGCTGGTTACACATTTTCTCTCGATACTGGTATGTCATCGATTGGCCAGTGGGATTGTCTAAGGAATTGCCCTTTTGCCCCTTCGTTTCCCGTTTCATCTACTAGCCTTTCTCCTCCTCTGAGGCCCCACCATCACCTCACCTGGGAGTGGTCCTTCCCTCCCTTTTCTGTCTCAGATTTTTCAGTCTCTCAAAGAATAGTTCCAGGGCAAGTGAAAGCCTCTCCAGATTCTCCTACAATTGATATATCCCACAGCTGGGCATTTGACCCCTTGTCTTCACAGTTCCCAATCAGGTTTTGAATTCTCTCCAGGTCTCTCAAAAGCCTTTTGCCATCAAACATCTTCACCTGATAGGTATAAACCTCTGGTTTTCTACCCATCATCTTCCCAGATCTTATAATCATAATGCTTGTAAGGAAGAATTATACTTACCATAAGTGGTGGGTGCCACTGAGGAAGTGGGAAGGGCTCCAGAGTTGTTGTACATTGCAGCATCTATTAAAAAAAGAAGTGAGGCATAGCATGAGGAAAAATTAGCATTTTATCTATGGGGAGCTACAGCATAGTACCATGAAAAAAATACTGTCCCTAGAGTCAAAAGGCCTGGGTTCAAATCTGTCCTCTAATACTCATTACCTGTGTAAGCTTGCAAAAATCATTTGACATCTCTGGACCTCAGTTTGTTTCCTCAGTTGTGAAATGAAGGGGTTGGATTAGATGGATGACCTTTGAGGTGACTCTCAGCTCTAGACCTATGAGGACAACCAGCTGGATTACTGGGAAGCCAATGGCAGATAAACAATGGCATGTATTGGGTTAGCACGGTACCTGTATCTGTGTGTAACATGGGTCTGAACTGTGATTTGGCAAATGAGTGGGAGATGCAGGTGAACAAGAAGGAGCCAAGAAAAGAAACTACCTTTCTACTATTACATAGGACAGACATTTTGGCAGTATTTGGCTTGGTAAATAGAGTATTAGACTTGGAGTCAAGAAAACCTGAGTTCAAATCCTGTCTTAGATTCTTATTAGCCATGTGACTGTGGGCAAGTCACTTAACTTTACTCAGCCTCAGTTTCCTCATCTTTAAAATGAGGGTAATAATAACACCTACCTCACAGGGTGGTTGTGGGTCTCAAATGAGATGATGTATATAAAGTATTTTGCAGATCTTAAAACAACATATAGATGTTAATTATTATTGTTGTTATTATTAGAAAAGAAAGTCTTCTATGAACAGGATGTGACTAATCCTAATTGCAATGGCCCCTTTTCTAAGTGAAATTGTAATATTACATGGGCTTAGAGAAGGCCCCAAATTGGAGGTGCCTGGTTGATGATAGTGATTACATTTTTTCAAGTGAAGTATTATTAAAGTGAACAGGGATGAGATTGGTTGAGATGCCCCTTGTCCCCCAACCCATCACAAGGTGTGAAAAGGGAAAACGTTGTCCAAGTTTTAGAAAACAAAAAAAGTGGAGGGAGAGTAGAGCCTGAAAACTGTAGGCTGGGGAACTTGACTTTGACTCCTGGAAAAACTGTAAAGCTTTTCTTAAAGGAATAGTTACTGAACTATCTAGAAAAAAAAAAAATATCGCTTACAAGGAGCCAGCATGGAATCATCAAGATCATCAAGAACAGGTCATGCGATGTTTATTTTTTATGCTGTATTTTTATTTTTACTTTTTATTTACTTTTTTTGATGGATTAGGGAAATTCTATAGATAGTTTACCTAATTTTAGCAAAGCATTTGCTAAAGTCTCTCCATTATTATTGTGGCAAAAATAGATTGATTTTGGCCAGACAATAATACAATTAGGAAAATTAAGGTTTAGTTAGAGAACTGGCCTCAAAGGGTAGTCATTAATAGTTCAATGACATTTTGGCAGTGGTCTCTAGTAAAAGATCCCAGAGATCTGTGCTTGACCCCATCCTGTTAAGCAATTTTAATTATCAATGGCTAGGATAATTACCTTGATGATTTATTGATTAAATTTGCAGGTAACCCAAAACTGTGATCAATATTTAACATATTGCATGACAATATTTGGGCAATTAGGTGGCACAGTGGATAGAGCACCAGGCATGAAGTCAGGAAGACTTATCATCCCGAGTTCAAATCTGGCCTCAGACACATACTAGCTGTGTGACTCTGGGCAAGTCACTTAACCCTGTTTTCCTCATTTTCCTCATTTGTAAAATGAGCTGGAGAAGGGAATGACAAACCGCATCAGTATCTCTGCCAGGAAAACCCCAAAATGGGGATGCAGACATGACTGAAATAACTGAACAACAAGAAGTTATCAAACATTTACTGGCAGGCCACTGCATGGATGGGTTTATCCTTCATTGGTTTATTATTATTGGTTTATTATCCTCTCTAGCCACTTACTTGTCAGATATTATCCACTGTCATTCTCCACTTTCTTTCCCTGTATCCATTGATCAAAACTTTAATAGCTTAAAACTGCAGTAAGACTTTTGGAATCCCTTGTATAGTAATTCATACAAAAAAATTCTGGGGTTTTCATTGAAAGTTCAATATGAATCAATGATTTGATAAGTTAGCTACGAAAGTTAATCTTAGGTAACATTGAGAAACATAGTCTAGGAGGTGACAATCATGCCATCCATGCTCAAACCTAATCACATCATATTTGAACACTACATTTTAGGAAGGACTTCGATAATTAAGGACACTCACAAGATGGCAGCCAGGATGGAAAAAGACCTAAAGATTATGTCAAATACATAAAGGACTTATGATGAAAAATTCTATCCACTTCCAGAGAGAAAAAAATGAAGTCTGAGTGTAGTTTGAAGCATACTTTTTTCACTTTATTTTTCTTCCTTTTTGCAACATGTCTAATATGGAAATGTGTTTTGCATGATTTTACATGTATAATTAATATCGTATTTTGTACCTTCTCAGTGGAGAAGGTACTGGAAGGACTGGAGAGAGAGAGAAAATTGGAACTCAAAATTTATAAAAGTGAAATGTTAAAAAAATGTAATTAGAAAATATTTAGCAAAAGAAACAAAAAATACAATAAAACATAAAAAGAAGAGGAAGATTATGTGAAATAAGGATTGGTTAAATAAAGTAGGCATGTTTTGCCTGAAAAAGAGAAGACTTAGGGGAGACATGATAGCTGTCTTCAAGTATTCGAAGAACTATTGTGTGGAAAAGACGTTGGACATTTTGCCTGGGCTCAGAGGGCAGAATTTAGAGCACAGTAGCCATCAACAAGAAGATATAGGAGGAAAAGTTTACTCATAATTAGAGTGATCCAAAGGTGGGAGAGGATGCCATGGGAATTATCAGTTGCCCCTCAGTGAAAGTCTTCAAGTAGAGGCTGGGTAACTATATGTTGTGTATCTTATACAGTAAATTCTCATTTAGATGAATGATTGCTTGCTATGGGATCCCTACACCTGCCCCAGCTCTGTAGATCTGCCTGGTCTCCAAGTCCAATCCATCCACAGTCTGTCCCCATTCCTATCAGTGACCAAGTCCTAGTCATAATACCTTTTTTCTTACCTAAATCCTGAAGGACCTTTCTTGATGACCCAGTTCACTTTGACCTCTTCCTCCTCTTAACTCTTACAGTTTATTTAGCACTTAGTATATATCTTAGTTTAGAATGAAGAAGAGTAGGAACTATTTTGATTTCATCTTTGTATACCCACCAAATAAAATAGTGCCTTGCACATAGTAGGCATTTAATAATTGGTGAATTGGATGTCTTGTGCTCCCCACTAGATTGCATGTAAGTAATGACCAAATCTCATTATGTCTCTTGATTTTTAGTGCCTAGTCATAGATGTTGCTCAATAAATGTTTATTGTTGTTGTGGATGATGATGATGATGTTGGAAAAAGCATACATCTAGAGGTGTGCTTGAGCCGGCTTGAACTGGCTCAGAAGGGTCAATTTTTAAATTTTTAGTGTAAGCATTGGAAATTAACTAATGCTACAAATCAGGACTTAATTTATTGTTTTGTCAATTTTTGAAATTTAAGATTAAGAGAGAGAAAATGTTAATAATGCAGACTAAACCTAAAAGTTTATCATGCATACATTTTCTCCCTAATGAGCTGGTTGTTAAACATTTACCAGCATACCATTGCACAGATGGGTTACATATGCTAACTCTTGATTGGTTCACTTATGTTACATCCTCTCTGGACATTTGCTAGTCAGATATCATACTCTGTCATTCTTTACTTTCCCCTTTCCTCTATCCATTCGTCGGAAGCAGTTTTTTTAAGTCCACCCCTCCAAGCCACCAATCAGCCAGCTGACATTTCCAGTGATGTGCCCATTACCATCTTTGCCTTCACCACCCTCTTCCCTCTGATATGATCCTATCCCCTGCCCTTCTTCACATGAGTACCTGACTGAAAGGTGATTTCACTGAACATCATCCAGGTATCAGCAAAGTGAAACTGACACTTGATGGCGCTGGCCATTCGGTGAAGGAGAGGCACCGTGACAAAGCGGGCACTGGGGTTGACATCATCCAGGACCAGGAGGAAGGAGACAGCATTGGGTTCCCATTCATTGGACTCCGAGCGGAAGTAGCACTGAACCTCCTTAAAGATCTTCACCCCCTTAGCAAACATGTTGTTGCAGTGGACCTGGCGAGGAGAAGGAGACAGATCCAAGGGTGAGTATGCCAGCTACAACTTATAGCAGAAGGCTTAGGGAAATGATGCCTTCCTACCACCCCACAGCAGTCAGAATTTCCCCCAATGTGCAATCCATATGATCATGGTCCACTTTATTTTCCCATTTCTCCCTTGCAGGAATTCCAAAGGTAACCCTACTTACCACATCTTGGGATCCACTGAAAAGGAGACTAGAGCTTCACTGGAGTAGGGAAATGGGGCAGGATGCCAATCAACCCCTTTTCAAGGAAGGCCTAAAACCATCCCACTACTCTTTTCTCCAACTGAAATGCCATAGAAAACATCCCATTTCTTACATAATTTCCTACAAATAATATGTATTTTTAAATAATCAACAAAATGACAAAGAGTTCAAGTGAAACGATGGCCATTTATCCACTGTATTTGCCACTGTCACCACCCTGGTATTCAGGCCCTCCTCTGATTTCATCAAGACTATTTATTGTAAAAGCTTCCTAAGTGGTCTTCCTGCGTCCAGGCTAATCTTCACACTACAACCATAATAATTTTCCTAATGTAATCTTCTACTCAGAAGTGGTCATCTTGGTCTTCCTCCAGGGGCTACCCCTGCTCCTGGCATTCAAGGTTCTCTAAAGTCTGACTTCAGCCTACATCTCCAGCCTCATCTCTTCCCACTTCCCTTCACATATACTACATTCTTGCCATATTGAACTACTCTTGCCCCACCTTTTCCCATCTCTTACTTCTACCTCTGCCTCTTGGCCACTTTTTTTTTTGTTTTTGTTTTTGTTTTTTTTGGCTAGGCAATGGGGTTAACTGACTTGCCCACAGCCACACAGCTAGTAAGTGTTATGTGTTTGAGGCCGGATTTCAACTCAGGTCCTCCTGACTCCATGGCTGGTGCTCTATCCACTGGGCCACCTAGCTGCCCCTCTTGGCCATTTTTCTACTCATCTTTATCTGTTGAAATCCCTCCCATCCCTCAAGGCCCAGCTTAAGTGTTTCCTCTTCCATTAACCCTTTCATGACCTTCTATCTCCCCCACTCTAACTTGAAGATCATAGGGCTCTCTTTTTTTTTCTTCAATGTTCTTATAACACTTTGCCTTGACTTCTCCATTGAATTGGTCCCACTCACCCCTGGAGAGCCAGCCTTGGAGCCAGGAAGACCTGAGTTCAAAATCTACTTCTGACATGTGCCACATATGAGTTTTGTCACTTTGTACAAGTCGTTTGTGCTCTGGGCAATCCTCTAAGGCTACAGGGAAGTACAGGGAGAAGAAGCTCCCCTATCTGAGAGTTCTCTATGCTATTGAAAATAGGTGTTAGAAATAGCAGTTGTATGTAACACAAGCTGGTCTGGGTATGCCCAGTTCAGGTAACATGGCGGCCTGAATCCCCTACCACATAGCTACTTTAGTTTTTAAGACTTCCAAGAGTGAGTCAATGGTTTCTTTTCTGTTTATTTTTTCTGTTGTCTTTTTTTTTTTTTTTGGTAACTCTTATCTGCTGTATCCAGAGGGTGAAGATTCCAGCTCCCCTACAGCAAGGATGCCATGAATTGAACCAGTGAGAGGGGAAGGGTTTCCTTCTCCCACTCCCACTTTTATCTTGACTCAAAGAAATGGGCCTGAGTGTTTGTTTCTGTTATGTGTGGCTTGTCCTCCTCAGTTTCAGGTGCTAGAACTCCCTGTGGGAGTTCCAGCCAGGGTGACCTTAGAGCCAGGATTGCAGGCAGGGTGGTACTGCCAGTCAGGTGTGCATGGAAGCACTGAGAAACCTGGGACTCAAATCAGATAGGCCCTCTGGACTTGGAGCTGGTACTGTTCTCTATGGGAAATGAGTTAAGCTATGTATCTAATCTGTTTTCCCTCCCCAAAGACTGAGGAGGTATAAGGCAGATGGGGGATTATGCCTCCAACATGTTAATGGAGTAAGTATATATATTTGTGATTATACTTTTTGGAGTAAATATTTTTGTGTGAAAGCTAATCTCACTATTAGCAGCTAAATGGAACAGTAGTGCAGGGGATCCCCCCCTACAATGGGAGGCATCACCATTGGTGAAGATTGGTGCCATTTGCAGAGAGCTTAGACATCCTAGACCCCTGTAAGGGTCCTGGAGAATCCTGGGAGCAGGGGTAAAATGGTTAAAAAAAAAATCTACCTGGCCTTCCAGCTAGTGAGGGCCATGGTAGTCTGTGTTGTAAGGATAATAGTTATTTGTGAACTTTTCACCTCCCTTTGTTGTTGTTGTTCAGTTGAGTCTGACTCTTTATGACCCCATGGACCATAGCACACCAGTACTGTCCCTAGGGTTTTCTTGGCAAAGATACTGGAGTGGTTTGCCATTTTCTTCTTCAGTGGGTTAAAATAAACAGAGGTTAAATGACTTGCCCAAGGTCACAAGCTGGTAAGTATCTAAGGCTGGATTTGAACCCAAGTCTTCCTGACTGCAGGCCTAGCACTCTATCCACTAAACAACCTAGCTGCTTGCCTCCCCTACCCCGATCAGCTTGAAAACAAGATCTGCCTCATAAATGTAGGATGAAAGATCAGGAATGAAGAGGGACCTCAGACCCATCTAGTCTAATGCCTTTTATTTCCTACATAGGGAAACTGGGTCAAATAGGGAGTATTCAAGGCAGGATTTGAACCCACTTCCTCTGACTCCAGAACCACAGCTATTTCCTCTGTGTGATGCTATCTCCAAATCTTTGGACTCTCCAGCATCTTGAATAGTGAATTGTACATGGTAGGTGATAAATTAACTTTTGTCAAATGATTGGATATTATGGAGTTAAAAATGCCTTCTCTTTCTATTTTGTCAGATAAAAATCAACTGATTGATTTCTACCCACCAGATACAGCCTTAGTGTCATTAACAGAATCTCTTTGAGCTAAAGCACTTTATTGAGTGTAGAAAAGGATATTTTTTTCCTCTGACATAGTACTATATAAATACCAGCTATTGTAACCTCTACTAATGATGAAATGATGCAACAATCAATTCAAATTCAGCCATTGTCTCTCATGATGTTGTCTGGTGATTTCTGCCATCTTTGGGTCAGAATTGTATAATTCATTCATTTATGTAGTAAGGGGCCTTGATCAAAACTGGAAAAGAAAGTCATCCAGCTAACAGAGTGGACTTTTTGGTCATATCATAGAGGCATCTACGTGGTACAGTGGAGAGAGTGCTGGCCAGCAGTTAGGAAGACCAAAGTTCAAATCTGGCACAAGTCACATAACCTCTGTCTGCCTCAGTTTCTTCTCTTGTAAAATGGGGATAATCATAGCACCTAACTCCCTGTTTGCCCTAGTTTTCTTATCTGTAAAATGAACTGGAGAAGGAAATGGCAAACCACTCTTGTATCTTTGCCAAGAAAACGCCCAGTGAGGTCACACAGAGTCAGAAATGACGGAACAACAACAAAAGCCTCCCAGGGCTGTTGTGAGGATCAAACAAGATAATTGGAAAGAGCTTGGCACATAGTAGGCAGTTAATAAATGCTTATTTCTTTCTCTCCTTTATAGAGTCAATAAACTAAGTAGAGTCAGGGGACTTTGGTTCAAATCCTACTTCTGGCATTCACTACTTCCCTGACCATGGATAGTCACTGAATCCTTCTAGACCTCAGTTTCCTTCTCTCTAAGATGAATGAGCTGAATTAGATGGACTCTGAGAGCCCCATAGGGTTTAGATCTATGATACTCCCAAGTTGTCTAGTTTCCCTTCAGTTTTTCTCCAGCTGTTCCAGTGATGAAATCATGTGCTAACACCTTCCTTGGGAAAACCAGCTGCTTTCATTTACTGAGCATTTGTTAATGTTACAGAGCAGAGAGACAGACAGACTGACAGAGACAGAGACAGAGAGACAGAGAGAAAGAGAGACAGACAGAGAATCAAAAGACACCATTCACAGCTACAATAATCTTCTCAGATGGTTTTGAAATCTTTAGAATGAGCAAAGTAGCCTGTGGGGAAGGTGATAATCTTTTCCACAGATGTTTTGAGGAATTCTTCTGGAATGCAAATAAACAGCCTAGAATTTCATTCACATGTGTATACACTCACCCTAGACATTTGCTGGACCTTTTACTAGGGCAAGTTAACTATTTTCTGGAAGACAGTAGCTCTCTTTACTGGGACAGGCCCCCATCTGGTCATTTACACATGGCCATGCCAATCTGCAAATGGCAGTTTTAATGCATGGCCCTTAATGTATGGTTTGGTGAAATTAACATGACTTGAAGTTAGAAAAGCTTGCCTGGGCTCAGGTCCTGGCCCTTCCATGTGTGAGCTGTGTGAGTCTGGGCAATCCTTGAGTCTCTCTGAGCTGCTTCCTCAGCCTTAAAACAGTGACAGTATTCATGCTAGTTATTTCACGGGGTTGTTGTAAACCCTAAACCACATAAAAATGCCAGTGTATATTGGTTAACCACTGTGCATGTGAGGTGGTATATAAAGTATTGTGACAGATTTTTAAACAGACCTATCTCCAAATGTCACCCTTGCCAGCTTGAGTAAGTCACTTAAGTCCGGTCCTGCTTCCTCATCTGTAAAATAAGCAGGCTGGACTTTGTTGTTGTTCAGTCATTTCAGTCATGTCTAATTCTTCGTGATCCCATTTGGGGTTTTCTTGGCAAAAATACTGGGGTGTTTTGCCATTTCCTTCTCCAGCTCATTTTATAGATGAGGAAACTGAGGCAAACACAGATAAGTGACTTGCCCAGGGTCACACAGCTAGGAAGTGTCTGAGGCCAGATTTGAACTCAGATTTTTCTGACTCCAGGCCCACTGCTCCATCAAGCTTCAACATTTAACAAATATTTCAATAATTCTACAACTATTAAGTGACTTTGGCATGCAAAGAACTTGAGATACAGAGACAAAAATGAAAGAGCAACTGACCTTAAGAAATTACATTTTACTAGGGGTATTCAACATGCGCACAACCAATTAGATAAAAGTTACTGAACTGTGGAAGCTAGAGAAAGGTTAATTAGAAAAAAATTGCCATAGGAAAAAATGAATGCATCAGAGAGCTTGGGGGGAGAGAGCAGTGATCAGTGAAGAAGTAAAGGCTACACGGTGGAGGTCACACCTGAGCGGAGCCTTAAAGGAAGATCAGGATTTTGAACAGTAAAGACAAGGAAATAGCGCATTGCCGGCATGAAGGATGCCTTCGGTGGAAGCACAGAGGCCAAGGATGGCAGATTGAGGTAAGCGAACAGCTCATGGTAGAATCTGGCTAGAATGTGTAGTGCATGCAAGAGTAGGTGGTGAATGTTTAACAATTGGCTTGGGGGGAGGGGATTGCATGAAACACACTTAAGTTTAATTGGTATTCACATCGTCATCACTTTCTTAAGTCTAGACAACCCACAGAACGATAAATCAAGCCCTGATTTGTATGGTTTACCTATTTTCAGGTGTAAATGCTCACAATGAAAATTTGACAATCAAAAGCTGGTATGAGCAGGCTCTAGCACACCCCAGAATTCATGCCAGGGAATAATGTGAAATGAGGCCAGAAAGGTAGGTTTGAAACAGATTGTGGGAGATAATTAACGCCAGACTAAAGAGTTTGTATTTTATACTAAAGGCAACAGGAAGCACCTGAAGGTGTTTGAACTAAAAGGTAATATAATCAGACCTGCTATAAGGAAGATTATTTTGATAGCTGTGTGAAAAGTGAATGAGACAGGGTAGGGAGGAATTGCAGGGAAACAGATTAGGAGGTTATTTCAAGAGAGCATGGTCAAGGCTTGCTGGTTGTGTCCTTAACAGAAACAGGGAAATTTGGAAGAGGGGAAACATTTAGAGAAGATGTAAGTTAAATTTGAAACATCTTAAATTTCAGATGTCAGTGGACATCCAGGTAGAGATGTCTAGCAGATATTTGAAGATGCAGGACTGGCATTCAGGATAATAATAAATGGATTAATGAAGAAAGGAAGGAGAAAGAAAGAAAATAATAATAATAATCTTTATATTGGGCCTACCATATGCCAGGCACTGTGCTAAATGCTCTACAAATATTATCTCATTTGATCCTCACTACAACTCTGTTAGGTGCTATTATTATTCTGATTTTTTTAATAGTTCTTTTTACAGAAATTTACAGAATTTTTTTACAGATAAGGAAACTAAGACAAACAGAAGTTAAAGCAACTTGCCCAAGAGCACACAGCTAGTTAAGTGTCTGAGGCCAAATTTGTACTCAAGTCTTCCTTACCCCAGGTCCAATGCTTCATGTACCATGGCACCACCTAGGTGCCCCCAGGTAAGAGATCAATGCTACATTTTTCGGCATAGAAATAATAATTCTTTTCATTCAGTTCATCAATGAGAGTGAATGACATTACTAAGGGAGACAGTGTAGAGATAGAGAGGACAGAAGAGGACCAAGGACAGATCCTTGAGGGGCAGTCAGACTAAGTAACAAAGTAAAGGGATGCTGAATCAGGAGAGGAGAAATAACTAAAAAAGAGTGGTCACACAGGTAAGAGATCCAGGGAGATCCGGAGAGGGTCTGTATCGTGGAAGCCAAAGAAGAAAAGCATATCAACAACATCAAAAGCTACAGAAAAGCAAAGAAGGGCAGAGGGAGAGAAAGAGACAGAAACAGATAGACAGAGAAAGAGAAACAGGAAGTGAGAGAGTTGGAGAGAGAAGGAGTCAGAGAGAAAGAAAAAAAGGGGAAGAGAAGAAGAGAGACAGAAAGAGGGGGAGAGAGACATACATAAATGATGAGAGAAAGCTCCCAGAGGAGAGGGACATGAGATGTAACGGGGGTCAATCTTGTCAAGAAGGGCCACCTCTTCCTCAAAAACTGGATCAAAGAAGATGGGTGAAAAATGTAGAGTTTTTGAGGTATAAATTTGGAAAGATGAAGGTAATTAGAAGTTGTGTTATAGTGAATTTGGAGCCAAAGAATGAAGATTCAGATCCTGGCTGTGTTTACCTATGTGACCATGGGCAAGTCACTTAATCTCTGTGGGCAGGTCTCAGTTTCTTCATTTGTAAAATGAAGATTGGACTAAATGACTTCTAAGGCTGTTTTCAGCTCTAAATATTTGATCCTATGATCTTACGGTGCTCACAACACCAACAGGAAGTTAAAAAGTGAAGCAATGAAGCCATCTTCTTACTCCAGATCCAATGTGTTTTCCACCATTCTACCTCCTGTCTTTCTATGGTAAATCCCAGTTATCCCACAGTGCCCCTTGTGGCAGAGATGCCTACTTCATTTGCCACCCAAGTCACGGGTGGTCTTAGCTCCTTTCTTTTTGCCTCCTCTTCTTCATTCAGTTTAGAGATGACTGTTTATATTGACTGAGAGTTATCTCAGCCAAACAGAGAGGATTCTATCCCATTCCCTCCCTATCCCGTCAAAGCCCAGGGCCTTTTCTCAGCCCTCTTAGAAAAGCTCCCTCAAAGTCTGATGGTCACTGACCTTCATGGTGGTGAAATTCCTAATCCGGTCAAATTCAAACATGATCTCGATGTAACCGTTGGTGGCACTTTCATTCCTCCAGCCCACGTAATCATAGCCAGGCCAAACGTGGTATTCATGGGTCTGGGTGAAGTCGTCCAGGCCAGAGACCCCGTCTGTCAGTTGTCCCAGACCTTCTGTCATGCTGGCCAGCCCAAGAGAGGAGGGGGAAAGGAGAGGAGAGCCTGGAGTTAATACTATATTCACTGAATCATTCCCCACAGAAATTTAGTAACACACCAAAGTTTTTCCAATAATCTTAAGAATGGGGAGTTGTGAATTTCTCAAGAAAATGTAAAAAAAAAAAAAGAATTCATTTTACAATAATGAGTCATTTATTTGGTTGGATAAAGAGGCATTCCAGATAATTGGATTTTCCATATAAATAAAGCAGAACATTTCTTTAAAATGTTTAACTCTGAAGAGGTTGAAGCACTTGTAAGGTTAATACACAGAGAAGTGAGGACTGTTATTATTGCTCACACAGGACCAGGGGAGAGTTCCTTCCCCTGCTGTACCAGGAAGTGACCAATTCATGGTGCTGATGGGTAGGAAGGGGACTGACGTGAATGCTTGGGAGGTACGGAAACTGGCTGTGATTGGGCATAGAGTGGATATAGGGGTTCGAACACTGTCTCTGATGCTTGCTACCTGTGTGACCTTGGGGAAGTCACTTTGAACCCTTGCCCTCAGTTGTGTCATTAGTGAAGTGGGGAATTAGACTAGAGGGCTTCTGAGGTCTTGTCCATCTCCAGACCTATGATCCATTACTACTATTACTTTTGTACTAGTAGTCTATGGAATGAGTTATGGAGATGGTCGATAAGTTTGCCCGTGATGCCTACGCCGTTGGTCTTTAGTATTCTCATCTTGTACCATCACTGCATCGTGGAGGTAGAGGGGTGTTCACAGGCATATTGTGGATTGGGCTTCAAGGTAGGTGCCGCTCTGGCTCCCTGATACTCTCCTCAACCCTATGTAGTGTCCAAATATCAGAATTGAGGGTATGAGGATGAAGAAGTTGTAGTCCAGGTTTGGTCAAGTGCTGCCTATCCAAAATGTACCAGCTGAGCTTGCTTCCTGAGAGAAAGTTCTCAAGGGCCCTTGGGTTTAGGTGACATTAACTATTTTGGGTAGAAATAGTTCTCAGATGTGTTATAGATTTCCTTGTCTTTTAAACAGAATACGTGAAACATTACTTGATCTTTCCAATGACTCAGGGTCATACTCCAATGTGTAAGGCTGTTTACCCCCATTTTAAGTGGCCTCAGGCTGCTTTTGGTGATGCTGTTGTTGCATTTTCCCCTGTCAGAAGTAATTTCTCAGTGTGTTAACTTTGGAACAGATAGCTTTTCCTTTCCCCCCCTATTTCCTTCTGCCTCCCTCAACCCCGCCCCCATCCTTCCCACTCACACACACATATACACACACACTCACCAGCTGAATGTTCTAAAATAACTGAAAGGGAAATTTTTTCTATTTTCTTCACCTAGCACAGTGTCTAGTATATAGTAGGTGTTTAATAAATGCTTGCTAAATAAAAAAAATTATCATTATTAAATCACAAGCCTGTGCAATTCTAAGGCAAGAGATTTCTGGAAGAGTAGTCCTATGCCTTTCTGTGGGCTGACGTTCATGGCTTCGTGGAAGCTCTTGTCAATCCTGGGAGATCTCTGCCTACTTTTGAGCTTTTAGTTGCTTGAATTTGCCAAAAATTTCTTTACTAAGTAATATTTAAATTCAACCAAACCACCAAGAAAATTCATTCCAAACAAGTATAATCTAGAGACACTGACCTGTGCATATTTATTATGGATAGGGGTGTTTAGGAGGCACTGAGTAGCCCCTTCCCTATCTAAAGAAAATGATGGCAATTAAAGTAGCAGAAGAGGAAGAGAAAGATGAATTATTATTTTCAAGTTTCTCTCCCCTCTTCAGTTTCCACACCTTGTACTCATAGCATGGACATCACAAATGAAAAGGGTGTGTCGTTAAACTTCAGAGCAACCACACGTCTGCTCTACACAAGGTAAGGCTGTGTCCCACACAGTGCTTCAAAATATCAAATCATTTTACATAATACCTTTACAGAGAAGTTAAAATATAAAGCAGATTAAGTCCTTAAAACATGGCCTCCAACCTGCAAAATTTGCATTGGCCTCATCCACAGAGACCAGAGCCTATGGTTCCATTTTGGATCACCTCCATGTCTTCCTATATCTTCCTCAAACCACTAGGCTAAGAAAATAACACAAAAGTCGTTCATAACAAATGCACTCCACTTTCAGACCCTGAATACAGGTTGCCAAGAAAAATTTGTGAAAATATTATTAAAAAAAAAGAGAGAGAAAGAAATTTTTCACTTGGATCAGAATCAAATCAAATCATCAATTTACAAAACCAGCTGCCTGATTCTCCCTGAGCCTATGGCACCTTCTCCTGAATATGGTTGAAGAAAATGATGCTAGGGAAAGACCAGCAGACTTGGTAAAGAAGAATGACTCAGTAGGTTGAAAGCTAGTGCTTTGGGTGAGTTGGCTCAACAAGGCCTCATGCCAGGATGACACCTAAGTGAGTTGCTGCTTACACGTATCCCAGAGGGAGCTTCTTAACATTGTTCTTAACCCACCACTCCACACACACACACACACACGCACACACACATGCACGCAGTTTCCTTCTTTCACCCCAACCCCTTCCAGTCTCTGACTTTAGGCTTGTGTCTTCAGTGCAGCGTTGATATCCCTCAATTCAGTCTCCTTATCTGTGAAATGTGAGAAGAGGGGGTTGGACTAGTTCAGAGGTTCTTAATGTGGGGTCCATGGACTTGTTTTTTTTAATGTATTTTAAATTATATATAATAAATAATTTATATATTTAATATAGTATATATTAATGTGATATATGTAATATAGTATATATGTAACATAGTCTATATAACTAACTATACATACTATTATGTTATGTACAATATATTATTGTACATGATATAATTATATAATAGTATATACAATAATGCATATATGTAATACAACATTGTATATATAATAAATACACATATACTATTATATAATATACAATAAAT